ACAGAAGGGTCGTGGGGAGGAGATGAGCCAGTCAGGGTGCAGTATAACACCAATGAAACACGCGACTTTCCTCTAGTTCTTTAATGCTTCCTCCTCCCCCACTATCATGACCCAAATTCTACCTTACAAATCTGGCTAGACCAGAGCATGTACACGAGTACAGATAAGAGCTGGAAACAGAGGGAATCCAGGACAGATAAACCCCACAGGACCAAAATTGAGAGTAGCCATACCAGGAGGGGAAGGGGCAGGTGGGGGGAAAACGGGGGAACCGACCACAATGATCTACCTATCACCCCCTCCCAGGGGGATGGACAACAGAAAAGTGGGTGATTGGAGACTTCAGTCAGTGTAAGACATGAAAAAAAATTGTATAAATTATCAAGGGTTCATGAGGGAGGGTGTGTGGGCAGGGTGGGGGAGATGAGAAGCTGATATCAAGGCCTCAAGTAGAAAAAAATGTTTTGAAAATGATGGCAATAAATGTACAAATGTGCTTGACACAATGCATGGATGTATGGATTGTGATAGGAGTTGTATGAGTCCCTGATAAAATGATTTTTTAAAAAAGAGTAACTAAATAAAGCAGAGAAAATTGTCTTAAAAAATGGTTGCAAAAGTACATCTGCAGGCAACTGCCAGAAATTCAAGCCATATCCAGAAACAAAAATGTGGCATGAGGGCTGTCATTGTTGATGTCAAATAGATCTTGGAAATACCAGAAAGATGATTATCTGTGTTCATGGATTGTGCAAAGGTGTGTGATTGTGTGGATCATAGTACCATTGAAAAAATGGGAATTTTAGAACACTTACTGTGCTCCTGTTGAACCTGCACATGACAGCTGTTCAGTACCGCCTGGTTTAAGACCAGGAAAGGGATATGTCAGGGTTGTATTCCTCAACCATAGTTATTCAATCTATGTGCAAAGCAACAATACAAGAAGTAAGACTATATGAGGGAGAACGTATCAGCAAGATTGGAAGAAGACGCATTAATAACCTGCAACATGCAGAAGGTACAACTTATCACTGATGAGGGTCAAAGAGTGCAGTCTTCAGTGTGGGTTATATCTCACCATAGAGAAAACAAAGTCCTCACAACTGGGCCATAAGCAACATCATGATAGAGAAAAGACTGGATTTTTCAATGATTTCATTTCACTTGGATCTACAATCAATACCCTTGGAAGCAGCCATCAAGAAATCAAATTACGTATGACAAATTACATGTGGTTACAAATGACCTCTTTAAAGTATGTGGTAGTTACATAATCTGATGTCAACTTCATAAATACAGTGAAGGGATGGGGTCTAGCCTGTCAATCAGGTTACAGCCAGATGGTACCTTCTTGTGGGTGTGGCCTTCTTCTAAGAAGGGTCCTGGGGACCTCCCCCTTTTTCTGCCTTCATCTTCCTGGTGAAGAGCCACACTGGGAGCTACGAGAGCCCTGGGATGCCACCACCGCCATTGGATCCACAAACCTTTGCACCGACCAGCTGATGATGATCCTGCATTCTGCATCATTGCATGTGGCTGTGTGAGTCTGAAGAGGGATTTCTGGCCTGGTATCAGAGTTATGGACTAGTATTGGACTTAGGAACTTGATCTGGACTGAGGTGGGATGTTTTCTTGACATGTGATTACTTCTTAATATAAAGCTCTCTTACACACTAGATTTGTTTCTCTAGTCAACCCGACTTAACACAAAGTATTAATAAGCAAACTATCATTATTCAGATTAAGGTGTGCCTGAGGCCAACAGTACATTTTCACTCACCTCATGTTCATTTGAAATCTAGACAGTTAATAAAGATGACCAAAGAAGAATTGATGCCTTTGAATTATGGTGTTAGCAAAGAATATTGTATATGTTGTACATAACACAGACTCCCAGAAGTATGAACAGATCTGTTTTAAAATAAGGACAGCCAGAATGCTCCTTACAAGTAGTACAAAGCATTATCTCACATACATGGTCCATGTTATTAAGAGAGACCACTCCCTGCAGGAGGACATTGTGTTTTGTAAAGTAGAAAACCAGTCAAACCAAACCCACTGCCACTGAGTGGACTCTGATACACAGCAGCCTATAGAGGATTTCCCAGCCTGCAAATGTTTAAGAGAGAAGACAGTTTCACCTTTCTCCCTTGGAGGAGTCAGTGGATTTGAACCAACAACCTCGCAGTTAGCAGTCCAACATGTAACCCACAGTACCACCAATGAAAAGAAGAAGACTCTCAAAAGAGTCCATGTGCAGCAGATTTATTTAATGCCACATGTCTTTTGATCTCTTGACTGCTACTTCCATGACATTGATTGTGAATCCAAACAGGACAAAATCCTGGACAACCTTAATCTTTTCCCCATTTATCAAGATGTTCCCTATTGCTCCAATTGTGAGGATTTGGGTTTTCTGTTTTGTAAAGAAAAGAAATCACCACTTTTCTGTCAGTTTGTCAAATTGGGGTGCCTTGTGTGTTCATGTGACACTGGAAGTGATGTCACTGATATTTCAAATACCAGCAGGTTCACCCGAAGTGAACAAGTTTCAGCAAAGCGTCCAACTAGTAACAGACTATAATGAAGGAATGGGCTGTCCTTAATTAAGACTGAAAGCTTAGGACTATCAGCATAGCCGTCACAGATACAGAACGTTCTTGGTGTATGTCTGCTGAACTCACAGTCTGTCGACCATGGTCAGCACTTCAGAGAGTCTTGTTAAAAACGGATGGATGAAAGCATGGTTCTGGCTATAAAACATCACATAACATAAAAATCTC